CCACAGGCTGCACGGTATTTATAATTCGTAGTGGTCATCCGCGTGTGTGTGATAATGTCCCTGTGTCAGCGCTTGTTAGCAACAAGAGAAGCGACCGCTATCGGGTTGTTGAATCCGGCGTTGTGTGCACAAAAGAAGGCCGCGTCTGGTATGGCCCACAGTCACTTAGCAGCATGCACTCGTCTCCGTTCTATTTGTCTCCCTTCCCTTCGCCTACCCCCCTCCCTCTCCCATAGACTGGCTACACCAAACCCCGCCCTCTTGAACAGCCTTCTCTTATTGACCCCCCCCCTTATTCCTACGGCCCACTCGTACATGAACACATTTTAACTTGCTCCCCGTTCCCATATAAATTAACCTGCCCGAGGAAAATTTATAGAAAGCCTACTTACGCTCGCCAACTAATATTCTAAATTTTCTGCTGGAAATGTTCTCAACCTTAGTAATAAGTTGCTAAGATAATTAAACACAGGAAAAATCGTTGAAATGTTTTTTTTTGATTTGGCGAAATGGCCGCGGGCTTATGATTTCACGTTGCAAATTAAGTCAAAAGAAATTACGATTTGCTATGTAACCCTTTCATCACTTTTTTCTGCAAACGTGGGTCATCAAAGCGTCAAATTAAGTGGGATTGGATGGCATGCCTTCCACACCGATTATTTGCTTCCAAGCTGTCAACCAAAACCTAGCTACTACTTTTTATTTATGCTCAGAGACCTCAGAAATTAGACAGGCTCTGCGCTACATTCCCATGAAAATGCGTAGGATCAGGTAATTACTATTTCCTTAATGAAGACTGATCGAACAGGCACAGGTTTGTAGACAAAGTAGGAGATATAAATTAAATCAGCGATTTTTTTTACATGTTGGTAGAAATTTACATTTGATGACTGAAGATAAACAAAGTGTGCACGGCGATTCCAGTCCCCATTTTGTTAAATCATAGCCTATTGATGTCGCTGATAACCTTAAGTAACACTAAACCTCCTTATTTACTACTACTACTGTCTTGTGAAAACCCATTCTGAATCCTCTTTAACTTATTTCGCAAATTCTGCATATCGTTGCGTAGGATGAGGTGAGAGACATCGAAAGGTGCAGTGTTGTAATAGGCCCATAACTAAAAACTTAATTGCGTGGAGTGTGGGATATGGGAATTAACCCACTTGCTCCCATGCCTTACTGCACAGAAAATTAGCTATCTTCTGAAATGTAAAGATCGAAATTTGAGTGGGCACTTTAACACGCGTTTAAAGTTCATTATTTTTTTTCAATTTATTGACTTGAGACATAAAAATGCTCTTTACTCGAAAAGATTTCAGTTCAAATCAATGTATTGAATGAAGGAGTAGGCCAAAGCGGGCCGAATCCAGGAATAAGCTACGAAACAAAACTGCCAGTTTATGCGTGTTTTACCATTAAAAAAATTAATATTACAGACAGGTTTTGCCTACGTCATTTAGAGACCGCAAACTTTTGTTTTGTCTTCATAAAATTGAACTAAATACAAGACAGACAATCCAATATATTTACGGGCAAGGAAGATCGACTTAAGTTTATAAATTTCAGTTTTGCATAAATGGTAGGTTTTGCGCCGTAAAATTCAATAATATACGTGTACAGCTGTAGTCTTCTTTACTTTATCGAAAATAAGGACCGAAATAAACCAAACGGCCTCTACTTTTCTATGTGACGCCATCAAAAAACACTGTTCAAATATTTTCTATCTATAGAACAGAACCAAATAAAATGAAAATGTGAAACAAAATGGGCAGAAGATTATCGGTTTTCGAAAAATGGAAGCAGACAGTACTCGCCAGAACTCGTGCAACATACCGACATATGACTAAGTTTGATACAATTTCGCTAATCGGCATTGACTCAGGTTATGATACTGATTATCGTGTAGTCTATTCTGAAATTATTTCAGTCACGCTAGAATGCGGGCTTTTAAACGAGCTTAGTTCTGACCACTAACATAAAATTATGTACTGTAAAAAGTAACTTTTGAAATAGTATGCGTTTTTATTATTGATTTTGACTGCCTTTATAAATTCAAATATATTTTA